AAAAAATTACAATAAATTTGATAGTAAATTGAAGATAGCATCAGAATGCAAAGAAATAAAAATTTAAAAAAAACCTATATCTAACTTATTTTGGCCAAGTACTAAATACTATATAAGAAATTGAGATGTAAGTTTTTTAATGGAAAGTAAGAAATAAACATGAAGTTCCAATAGCATTCTTATTAGCAAGTAAAGCAGATAACCACCAAATATCCATTTTATGTATATCCTTTGCCTTCTTCCCCTTTCGCTCTTAATCCATTTTAAACTTTGCTCTCGTGAAAGAAGTCAGACAAAGTCAAGAACATATACTTTCACTCATCTGTGGGATATAAAGCTGACAGCCACAGATGAACTAACTAGAAAAGCAAACAAATGAAAACTCAGAGACAGACAACAGTAGGGTGGATACGACAGAGAAGGGAGAGGTGGTGAAGGCTGGCAGGGGCCACATTCAAGGTGACAGAGTAAGATTTGTCTTGGGTGGTACATATACAATGAACATAGAGACCCTGTATCACAGAACTGTGTACTTGAAACCTATATAATTTTATTAACCAATGTCACCACAACAAATTTATTTAAAAAATAATAAAACATAGAATTCTTATTGTATGAAACAACATATCTTTAGTAAAGTGGTGCACTTTAAAAGATATACTAGATTCTACAGTTGTGAGCCAGTCCTATGAAAATCTCAGAGATGGTCTATTATGGTCCTGTCATTTTGCGAATGAGGAAACTGAGGCTCTAAAATGATACAGGACCAATGTCAGCTGATTAATGTCAAAACCCTGAAAAAGGCTGTAAGTTTATAGAATCTCAGTAAATCTATCAAAGTATGGTGGCTTGCCCTTGAGATTTCCTGGCTTATTTCCCTTCTAGCACTTTGATGCGATCTTCTCTTCCCTTCATCTGTCTCTGGTCTACGCAATTTGATTCCACTCCCAGGGGTGTTTTTACTTGGTTGTGCTTTTTTTTTTTTTTTTGGTATTTTATTGGTTTTGGACACAGGCTGCTGTCCTGGGAGGGAGTCCCGGTGGACCCATTTTGAGAGCTCATGGTGTCTGGACTGCTCCAGCCCCATACACCTGCCACAGACCTTTTGAGCCCACTCATTATCATAGTGGGTAAAACCCCTTCTAGTTTTTTTTTAACATTAAAAGAAAATTTTTATCTTTATTGATTTTTAGACAGAGAGGAGGGAGAGTGAGAGAGAGAGAGACACATCGATGAGAGAAAACATCGATTGGTCATCTCCTGCATGCCCCTCACTGGGGATTGAATCCACAACCTGGGCATGTGCCCTGACCGGGAATCGAACTGGCGATCTCTTGGTGCATGGGTTGATGCTCAACCACTGAGCCACACTGACCAGGCAACCCCTCCCAGTTTTAGCTGCCATTCTCAAACTGACTGCCTAATTTTCTAGTGAATACCTACCTGTTGGCTCTATTGTGATGATACTGCCTTCTCTTTTATAGACATGAATATCACACAGGTCTTGGCCAGTTGCTAGTTTGTCCCCATTAGCTTGTAAGTTTTATAGGGATAAATTCCACTCAATTTTGTTGTACATACTTTTCACGGCTTATTGACATTACTTACTAGGAACTGACTGTTTTGATGTGAGCAACTTTGGCAAATCCAAAAGCTATTCTGATACCACTACCACCATCTTTTCAGAATTCTCCCTTATGTTTAAAAAATTTAAAACAGCTTTATTGATTTATAATTCAAATATATTCCATTAAGTTAATCCATATGAAGTTTAAAATGTAATGGTTTTAGTATATTTATGAAGTTGTACATCAATCACCTTAAAAAATTAGAATTTTTTTGCCCTGGACAGTTTGGCTCAGCTGTTAGAGTATCAGCCTGTAGTCCAGAGAGACCCGGGTTCAGTTCCTGCTAAGGGCACATACCTCGGTTGCAGTTTGTCCCTGGCTCTGGTTGGGTCGTGTGGGTGGCAACCACTCGATGTGTCCCTTTCACGTTGATATTTCTCTTTCTCTCTCTCTCTCCCTCCCACTCTCTCTGAACAAAAAATAGAAAAATGTCCTCAGGTGAGGATAAAAAAAACCAATTAGAATGTTTTTATCACCCCATAAAGAAAACCCATTCAATAACAGTCATTCTCCAACCTGTATTTCTTCAACCCTAAGTAACCACTCATCTACTTTGTATCTATGCACATCTGCTGTTCTGTACATTCCATATAAATAGTATCATACAATATGTGGTCTTTTGTGATTGGCAGGATGTGACAGAGAAATGAACATTAAATCATTTTTTAAGTTCTTCATTTCAAATGGGAAACACTAACAATTCCATGATAGATTTTTTATGGCAAATTATTTGCATATGATTTGAAGTTGGTTTCCTGATACAGAGCAATAGAGCACCATTTGGAAAAAAAGCATAGTTGATAATAATAATGATTATTACAGCAATAAATTATAATATGTAAGTTTACTATGTGCAAAGACTATTCTAAGCACTTTACGAATATTAGCATATTTAACATTCACAGAAATCTGTGATAGAAGTACCATTATTATTATCCCCATTTTAATGATGACAAAACGGAGGCAAAGTGAAATTTAAAACAATTACCCAGTCTAGACAGTGTAGACAGTGGAAGAGCCAGATTCCACACCTGGATAGTTTGATAGTTTGACTCACAATTCCTTGTTTTTTTTTTTTATCCTCACCGGAGGACATTTTTGCATTTATCCTCAAACAGAATAGGAGGGAGAGAGGGAGGGAGGGAGAGAGACACACCAAGTGACTACCACCCCATGACCCAGGTTCCCAACCAGGGCCAGGGACAAACCGCAACCAAGGCACGCGCCCCCAGCGGGGAACTGAACCAGGGACTCTCCGGTCCCCAGGCCAACACTCTAACCACTGAGCAAACAGGCCAGGGCCAATTCCTTGTTCTTAATCACTATTCTATAGTGCTTCTTGATTTTAGGGTGTTTTGCCAACTATCATTCTCTTTTTTATTTTTTAAGAGAATGAGAAACATCAGTGTGAGACACATCTACAAGTTGCCTCCCGCATGGTCCCAACCAGGGTTGGGGCCCAAAATGCAACCCAGGTACGTGCCCTTGACTGGAATTGAACCCGCAACTCTTTGGTCTGTGGGCTGAAGCTCTAACCGCTTAGCAAAACCGATCAGGGCCTATCATTCTCTTTTTAATTGCAATAGTGAAAAACAACTCAGAGTAACATATTCTAAACTATTTTTCATTAGCCATATTTCACAGCACTGGCAGTATATGGTATTTAATTTCAAACTAAGGAATCGTTGGGGTTTTTTGTTCCATACATAGTTTTGCAAATTTTTTCATAATGCATTTTTTAAAAACTTATTTAAAATTTAAAGATCGTCATTATTCATAGCGAGCTGGTCTATTAAAATCAATGGTTAATTTTTCCTAAAATATATTTAATATACAATTGACTATATGCATCTACAATTGACCACAATTTGCCTCTTTATTATTTATGACACAGAAAGAACTATTGTAATTTATCACTAAATACAAGAAATACAAGATAGTAAAGTATTCCTTAGTAAGCTGAGCATGGATTGAACTGAACAAAATTGACTATAGTCACGTAAATTTTCCCAGGACTTCAAGACAAAGAGGGGAAGAAAGAGTGTATCCTTCTACATGAAGCCTGGCAAAGTCAGAATAATTTCCAGGGTTTTTTTTTTTTTTTTTTTTTAATCCCGAATCAAACCATCTAGGGATCATTCTGCTTCCCTTGAGAGGAAAGGAATCACTTTTGTTTAATCAAAGCTTCTTTTTTTCTAAAATATTAAAAAAAGCTTTGAAAAAAATGTTTAAATTGTTGGAAGCATTTATAGACGGAGTGACTGGTTGTAACAGAAACTCGCCGTATCACTAGGGAGGACCTGAAGCAGCACATTCTGACCTCAGATACCTTTGGATGACTGTGTTCAGAACCCTGTCTGCTGTCCTTGAACCTCCCCTCCCACAGACTTCTCTAAGTGCAACCCCGATCCCCGGCTTGACACAGAGACCTGGAGCTCCGTGCTCCCTAGATGGTCCCGGACGCACGGATTCTGACTTTAGGTAACATGTTCCTGGAAACACCACAGGGAAAGTCAAACTACCATACTGACGTCTAAGCAGAATCCTCGGAAGCAGCCTATAGAGCAGGTGTGATAATATCACCAAAAACCAAAATCACTTTTTTTTTTTTAACTGCCTCAGTGAAGTCATATTTTAATATGAGAGCAACAATAAAATTAAATAGCTTTCAAGTGTAGCTCTCAGTCCCAGGGGCTGGTCTCCAAGTGACTCAGTGCAGAAAATCACCGCAGGCAACTCCATTGGCAGCACACGCCACACAGTACTGTTTTGGAAATTAGATGGAATACTGCCTGGGACAGAGCTATGCCAATTGTGAAAACGTACAGATGTATTTATAGTTATTTTTAACATTTTCTAGGTATATTTAGAAGAGAATCTAAGTATAATTAGACTTCACATTAGAAGCACGACAAACAGCAAAGCTTGTTGAGTTGCTGTTCACTTGCGAGAGCAGCTTCTGAAATCCTCTAAGCATAGACCTCAACTCAAGTGCTGTTTGAATTTTATCTGGTTGAACTTATTTCTCACACATTCGCTTACCACTAGCTCTCTAACCCTCTTTTACTGATTCTTCTTATGCTAATTTAAAATAGATACATGTATACACATGAAATCCAAAGGAAAACACGTCTGCATGTTGGAAAGGGGATGCTGTGGAAGGGAGACATTACGTAAGCAATGGATGGATGGAGAAAATACTATCTCTTAACATGTAAGTGTAGCTTCAACAATTATGAAATTATCTCTTTGAATGGTCGTCTATATATGTATAGAATATATAAGAGCAGAACATTGGAAACACATGAAACAAAGAGAAAAAGGCTCGATCATAAGTGTGCTTCCAAAGGGAAAGGTGTTCCGGACACTTACCAGTCATGCAGTTTTCAAATTCAATGTCATCAATGGCAGCTCCTCCTCCCAGATCCCTTGTTCTGATACCTTGAAATATAACTTCAAAATTTCTTAATTTTCCTAGCAGGATGACAGCCTTTTGCCAGTGATCACCAGAATTCTGCTTACTTTCCTGCCATACTTTTGATAGTCCTTTCTCTGTCTGAAAGTAAAAAAGTTTGCATGAGAGAAATAACAAAACACAAATGAAAAAGAATAAAAAATACCCCAAACATTTGGAACAGAAGCATTGGCTCAGTGAAAACTTGATTTAACAGAATTGAAACTCTGATTAGCTATGATATATTTTACATCATCAAAACGACATATTAATCTACTGAAGTGTTTTCTAAAAGCAATACTAGCAGAGGTCACAATAAAATTCTTTTGGTATTTTCAGAAACGCCATTTAAAAAGTGTCCTACACAGTTCAATCTACCTCTCCTTGCATGTACACAACATTCTCTATATCTATTGGAATCTGAATAGTCTACAGACATCTTGGGTTTACAGCTCTGGATATTCCCCCAACTTGTATTCATATTCTTTAATTATTGAGATAGCATCTTCCATTAAAGAGCTGAAATAAGGGTGGCCAGTGTGGCTCAGTGGTGGAGCACTGACCCATGCACCAAGAGGTCGCCGGTTCGATTCCCAGTCAGGACACATGCCCAGGTTGTGGGCCAAATCCCCAGTGGGGGGCAGGCAGGAGGCGGCCCATCGATGTTCTCTCTCATCGATGTTTCCATCTCTCTCCCTTTCCCTTCCTCTCTCTCTAAAATCAATAATAAAAAAAAAATGTAAAAAGAGCTGAAATAACTTTGAGAAGGAGAGGGAAAAGACAGATGAAAGGAGGACTCTGTGGAGAAAATCCCTTTATCCCTGATGGACTTGTTGAGTAAATTGAGCATGGACGGAAAGTGATAATTTCTAAATTCAGTTGTATTTCAGCAATTCTATTATTTTGACTACTTAAAATTCTATTACAATATGATTATTATATGAGCATCAACTATAACTATTTCTATACCAAATTCTTCATTTCTAAAAGAAAAATTAATTTCTGGAAAATGTATGTAAATATCTCCTCTGAATGTCTAAGGCTGATGTAGTAGTAGTAAAGTATGACATCTGAATAGTCCCAGTATAACATGAAGGCATCTCACATAACCCTAATGATTAGGTCAAAATGATGCCTACAGCAAAACAGGAGATAAGTTCAGTTGAGCACAAGGACAGGTTTATATTGTTCACATGTTTCTCTGCTTTTGAACCTAGACTATTCCAGGAACTAGATGTTTAACAAATCAGGATAATAAATAGAAAAAAGAGAGAGAGAGAAAGAAAGGAAGGAAGGAAGGAAGGAAGGAAGGAAGGAAGGAAGGAAGGAAGGAAGGAAGGAAGGAAGGAAGGAAGATTGCGTTATGTTTATGGTTAGCCCCGAGTAATTAATATCTCAGGGTCCAGTACTGTGTTTTGATAATGAACTTACAAGAAAAACTGTGTCTGAAATTTGTAATAAAACAGTGGAATAAAGGAGAATATTTAGTGTAATGGCATCCAGAATATCAAGGAAGATATTTCAACAGATTTATAGCAGACAACTCTGAAATATATAATTTTCAGATTTTAAAAATATATCTATGATAATCTAAAAAAAAGGGAAATGTTTGAAAAAGATATCCAAAGGAGTTATGCATTCACATGGGAAGGAGGGTGTCAATGGGGAAAAAAGGAGAAACATCTGTAACAAAAAAAATTAATTAAAAAATAATGAAAAATAAGTAAATTTTAGTGGAGGCATAAAATTTAGTTTTTAAATAAACTTTTGCATTTCTAAAAATAAATAAATAAAATCAACTTCGAAAGAACAAAGGTGGATCTTTCAACATCCTTTCTAAAACAACAACAACAGATCTTTACAACCAGAGACTCATGTAACTTCTGCATTAAGAGGATGAAATGTTCACACTTTATTCATAGAGTTTCACCTCTCTCCAATGACTGAAAAAGAGAGGCCTTTCCAAGGTCACTCTGACTCTCAGTGATGTCTTCGTGGTTTGGAATCAGACGAATGATTAGTTATATTAAAGATTAAAGTAGAAGGGGTCTCTCTGACACATAGCTATAGAAAGTCTGCCCTAAGTTACAAACTTAATTCACTTTGGTAATTCTTCCTTTCAATCTGTTTTTGCTGTTTATAGAGCTACTCATCAGTTATGCTAAGCCCCAAAGGGTTTCCAAGAAAAATCATCAAAGAAGATTGTGTGATCCCTTTAATCAATAAAACGAGAACCATTTCTTAAATCTTACAACTGACTGTTTAATAAAAAGATGGTTAAATAATATATTCATTGTCATTTTATGTGGTAGGAATAAAAAAACAAAGGTGAATTCTTTTGAAAACCAACCATGGATCAACCTAGTAATGTGTTATTATAAAATAGCATTTCAATATATTTGCTATTGTTTTACTTTGATATAACATATCAATTAGTATCCCCATAATTATCCAAAGCATTCATTCAAATGTGCAGTGCAGATGTATTTATGTATTGAATTATTCCTCCAGTCATTCATTTATTTAGCAAACATTTAATGTTCACACAGTTCCAAACACTATTTACACGCCAGGAACAAAAAGGTGTAAAGAAAGGGTGTCTACCATGGGATGGTGATACTCTAATAGGTGAGAATCATAAAAGTAAATCACTATAAAATTAGCACAGAAATAGGAAACAGACAATAGTTTGGGGAAGGCAGGAGGGAGGGAGGAATGGGGAGGAGGGGGTCACTGGGGGGAAAAAGAGGAACATCTATAATACTTTCAACAATAAAAAAGAAAGAAAGAAAACAGAGCAACTTTTTAAAAGAGTGGCTATAGATCAAGCTCCAAATGTTTGTTCCATATACCTTGGTGCTTTCTTTATTTACTTCATATTCTGATTTTAGTTCTTTCTAAACTGAGAAAGAAAAATCTCTCAATTTAAATTCACACCTTTCCCACTGCCTAAGACTATCTTTCTTATACTCATGTGGGTGTTAAGTTCAGGAACCCAAGAAAATACACATATGAAAGTGATTAACCTCATTAATAATAATTAAAAATATACATTAATTAATATGTTTTAATCATAAAAATTGATAAAATAGCCCCTTCTTATAATTTAACTTTTCACACAACATTGTTTGTTTGTTTTTTTCTTTAGGAGAAGAAGTGAGAGGGAGAGAGAGAGACAGAAATATCAATGAGAGAGAACATGGATTGGCTGCCTCCTGCATGCCCCCCACTGGGGATCGGGCCACAACCTTGTCATGTGCCCTGACTGGGAATCAAACCCACGACCTCTTGGTGCATGAATCAAAGTTCAACCACTAAGCCACAGCGGCTGTACTTCACACAACTGGAATTGAATTTTCATTTATTATGAACACTGACCTTTTTACTTTACATGTTGCGTATTTGTTTTGGCCGTGTGTCTGTCTTCACACTTGATTCCAGTCTTTCCCCGTTGGGTCATGAAAAGAGTGGCAACAGAAATACTAGAAAGGCAGAGCCACTTCGCGCTGTGCATATATGTGAATATCGTACTGCGTCGCCACTTGAATTTTCAGTTTCATATGTTTGAGGTGACTATATAACTTTTCCTCAAATTATTAGCCACTTTTTCAGAAACAATTCTTTCCTCCAACTCTTTTTCTCTTTATCATATTTTGAATCTATTTCCAGAGTTTCTGTATCATTCTGTGATCTATATTCCATCATCAATATCATACTTATTGTCACTATATTTTGTTCTGGGAAGATCTGAGAGGGCTTATTTTCCACCTGCCTTCTGATAAAGATAGCTAAAACCCCTGTACGTTATACAGTTTTATACCAACATAAAATATTCTGAAGAGCCCAGCTGGTGTGGCTCAGTGGTTGAGTGTCGACCCATGCACCAAGAGATCACTGGTTTGATTCCTGGTCAGGGCACATGCCCAGTTTGTGGGTCCAATCCCCAGGGGGGGCATGCAGGAGGCAGCCAATCAATGTTCCCTCTCACTGATGTTTCTATCTCTCTCTCCCTTTCTCTCTAAAATCAATAAAGAAAAAAATTAAAAGAAAAAATTCTTAAGAGTGGAGAGAAAGTAGACTAGCTAGGGACCTCGGAACTCAAGGAGCAACAGGTGGTGAATTTTCTTTTTTTTTTTTTCTGCATCATATATCCCAAAATGTACATGAGAATCTACCAACATGGAAATTAAAAAGGCACATACTGCTCTCTAGCCAGAGGACCAGGAAAGGGGAAGTCTATCAAGAAATAAAACATTTCGATAATAATTGTTCTACAATAGCCAAACACCACAGAAAAATTGCAGTCTGAGCACCAGTCCTAACAGGAAAGGCTGAGGAGAGAGCCTAGATTTCCACTCAAATTAGGGCCCAAGGGCCCCAAACCCCCTTTTCTCACACTTTTTCTAAACAAAGGACAAACAAAAGAATTTTCTCCAGTAGAGCTACCCAAAATAAATGGCTAAGGAAACTTCTCTGAACAGAACAGAGAGTAAAGGCATGTAAAAGAGAGGTGAAGTTTCTATACTTGAGTCAGTTTAGTCTTCATGTTACATTTAAATAGGTCACATTTTCATCTTTAATATTTCTTTGTTCTTTTGGTTTTCTCATACATTCATTCTCCCAAATGAATTTTAGAATAATTTAATGAATAACTGAAATATTTAAATATTGAATTATTTTACCGAGATATCATTTATCTTTTGATATCCTGAGATATCGTTTTATTTTCAAGTCTCTTTTTATGCCACTGACTAAAAATGTATAGTTTTTTAAATAAATATATTATGCATCTATTACAAAATTTATTTCTAGATAAAACAATGTGTGTTGCAATGTTAAATGGGATACTTCTCCATTATTCTTTGCTGACTATCAATAACATAAACAATCATATTATCAGGTTGGTAAATTAGCCACAGTTGGTGGCTCCTTCACCAAATATTGATCCTGACATACTATAGAGACCATTGGGAGGATGGACTTTAGAAATAGCAAATGGAAAGGGAGAGAGGGAGGGAAGAAAGGAAGAGAAAAGAAAAGAGAGAGAGAAGAAAGAAAGAAAGAAAGAAAGAAAGAAAGAAAGAAAGAAAGAAAGAAAGAGA